GAGAAGGGGGAAGGAGAGGAGGAGGGGGGGAGAGAGAGGGGTCGCCAGGGTGAGGTTAAGGTTAAGGGGAGAAATAACACACGCACACAGACAGACAACAGGATAGCGATGGTTACCAAGAAGTAAGAAACTGGTTTGCCACTGGAGACGATTCGACAATCAAAATCCCTGTGCACTTCTGGCTGATTTTACATAACAGCCATTCTGACTTCGTTCAATATGTGTGTGAAGAGAGCAGGCTAGGTTTCTTCCTCAGCATGCACATAGTGATCCTTATGATGCTATTCTGTGTGCACATTTGGATAATTGCATGGCAGAACTTCAGAAATTTTAACAAAGGACCAATGAGCCTAGCTCAGTTGGTACACCCATGAATTGTTGAAATACAGACCCAAGTTCGAATCCAAATGAATCACATAAAATAATTCTGAATTACCTGGGTAACCCTGGGTTCAGTTAGTTCAATCATGATATCTTGCGGTTGTCGCCCCTTTAAAAAAAAAATAAAAAAAATCTTGCCAAAGACACTTTTGGGGCCTCACCAAAGTTGCTACCAATTTACTGAATACAATGCCCGGGCATTATAAATGAATATAACGCCAGGTGTTATATTCGTATACAACGGCCAGGCATTATTTTTTGGGTGTGTGAAGACAGTAGGGGTCCAATCAAATGTACAGTGGTGGACAACGCTACAGAGGTTGGTGAAAGGGAGGACAATTCATGCACAAACTTACACAAAGTTACAAGGAATAAATAGTGTTGATACTTGCAAACGCGTATTGCAGTGCAGTCCGCTGCGTGGTGCATGGCACCTCCTTGTGCACCGCACTGCACAGGCCGCACAGACTTCCGTGCAGTGTGGTGTGCTTCTGCGCTTGGCCGGAGCGGTATGGTCCTTTCACTGCGCGGCGCAGTGTGTGGAACCCTGTTTTTCTTTTTCCTTTTTCTTTTCTTTTCTCCTTTTTTTCTCCTTTTTTTCTCCTTTTTTTCTCCTTTTTTTCTCCTTTTTTTCTCCTTTTCTTCTTCGAGTTCTGGGGCGTGGCAACTACTAGCAAGGGTGGGGGACACACCGCTTATGGTTGGTAAGTGAGAGGCAGAAACACTGCATGATCAGAAAACAGTTAAAGAAACTGCAGACTTGTGCGAACAAGGCAAAGTAGCAAACAGCGTGAAGAAGTTGCAGACTTGCAGAGTACACACAATAAGTGACAATATATAGTCCATACGACTATTCCAAAATAACAAGGTAACAACACGATGTCATGATCAAGTTGAATAGACACACAAAAAAATGGCAAGCGCTGCGTATGAGCCTATGAGGTAGGAACGGCGGGGGACGCACCTGTTGACCGTGACAGACACAGAAACACTGCGTCATCAGGGAATCCGCAAAGTCCCACATTACAACACACAAGAAATTGACGACAAAGTGCGAACCAACGGAAAAGCAAAAATGCTGCAATGTGGCAAGACTGCAAAGCTGTGAGAACACTGAGAAGTGAACTTAAAAGGGTCTTAACTTAGTGAAAAGTGTGAAGTTGCAGACTTGGAAGTTCGAACATAGATCGAACTTCCAACTGGAAAGTTGAGAGTCGGAATTTGAAATCCAAACACACCACCAACGCAATCCTACTCCCCTGCGGCTCCATGCACAGAAGTTTCACCACCTTCCTCTACACCCCCTGGTTTTCGGCCCCCTCCTCTTCAAACCCGACTTGGCAACCACTAGCGTCATCATCAGCAGCGGAGGATGATGATCAAGATGATAACAACGAAGAAGATGAGGATGGTGTAGGGCCGTCATCATCGAGGATAATCCCCTTCCATTTTGTTGTTTGCTGCCCCAGCGCTTTCTTTGCAGCAGCTTTGTTTTTGTTTTGCTGCCGCATCTGCTTTCCTTGCGGCTTCCTCTGCTGCTTTCCTCCCACTCCCACTACCACCTCCTTGTTGCTCGGCCCATCCTCTCTTCCTGTTTTCTGCAGGTGCAATGTTGTCCACTGTGGCATGTTTCCCTTCTCTGTGTTCTTCGGCTGCTCGCTGCACATGTCGAAGTGGCCTGCTGCTTCCCCCTTCTTGTCTCCCCTCCACCCGCGTGCCTGCATCTCATGCCTGCAGTGCACGCTCCTGCTCCTCCATCCTCTCTTCCTTTTTTTTTCTGGAGGTGCAATGTTATCCACTGTGGCATGCTTCCCTTCTCGGTGTTCTTCGGCGGCTCACTGCACATGTCGAAGTGGCCTGCTGCTTCCCTGTTTTTGTCTCCCCTCCACCCACGTGCCTGCATCTCACGCCTGTAGTTCATGCTCCTGCTCCTCCATGTTTTTTTTTTTTTTTTTTTGGAAAGTCAGAGGGAGTCGTGCTAGGGGAAGCGGTGAGAGCATGTCCCCCTCGCATAGCCCCATCTGACTGCTCCAGTCTTCCTGCTCCAGTACTCCTGCTCCTCCATGTTATACTGCACTGCGAGTTGATCCCAGTAGGTTCCCGATCTCCTCCGCAAATACACTCCCTTTTCCTCCCCAGCGCAGTGCAAAACTGCCACTTGCTCGTGCACTGGCCTGTGTGCTCAATGTCGTCTTGGTCAGCTATCATGTCATTGAGCACGTCACACAGTGATTTACTGAAGAACGTGTGTTTAGGGCATCATGCGCTGCCGTACATGGATGGCCTCGAACCGGCACCCTCCTGCACAGGAGCGAAGTATCGTAACCACTACAACCCTTGGAGGTGTTATAAAAACTGGATCCATACCGGTCGTGATATCCAGCCCACCTCCAGTGTTCTTGAACTCACACCACACACACACACCACACCACGGACTCGACAATCCACGCACACTCCGCTCAGCCAACAACACGGTAGCCCAACCACACTCGTGCTGAGGGAAAAACCTCTTCACAGTGTGGTTGTGTGACATTGCTCATGTCATTGAGCATGTCACACAACCACAGTCCATGTGTGTGGCAGGGAACCTCCTCCAAATTGCCACCCGCCTCTGCTGCACCACTGCCCACCATGCTTCTTGGACCGATCTCCTCACCAGCAGCATTGAGGATTTGGAAGCAGGCAATTGAGTCTTTGTCCTTCCCTGCCACACACACGGACTTCCAAAAGACCGTCCCGGTAGGCGAGGAAATCATCATGTTGATGTGGGGCCCTCCTCGCATGTCAGACCACCCATCAGCTTGCACCATGCAGCCTGTACACTCCCTCTTCTTGGCTGCCCTGGCCATGTCCTCAACTGCCCTCTTGTATAGCCCGTTCAATCTGCCATTCTGTGTCGCCTCTCTCATGTGCACTCGCCATGATGGGTGGGAATTTCTATAGTGTCCAACATTTTGAGGAGAAACTCGTTTTAAACAATGAAGAATGCATGGTTACATCTCAGTCGACCGTCTACTACGACCGCCGACCGTTTTGAAGCCTACATGTATCCCGACAGGTCGGCAGTCTGCCAACCAGTCACTCGACAGCCATTCACTGATTTTTTTTTTAATGTAATGACCCGCCATAATACAGACTGAGAACACTGCTGATTTATGACTTCTGCCGATGGAATGGATGCCTTGCTGAGATTTCCGCATTCTGCTGAGTTTTCTAAGTCTGTGTGTATGCGTGCTTGATGACCTGCATGCCTGTCTGAGTGCTTGTCGGCATGAGTGTGTGTGTGACCCGCAAGAGTACTTGCTTGTTCGGGAGGCCCGTAGGGCCGGTACTTACCTGTGGCCGTGACATTGAGGGTTGCAGCAGGGAAAACACTCAAGTGGCCGGGCAAGAGGCCCGCGGCGCACCCAGTAGAAGTAGATGTGCCGAGTACTCGAGGCTGATCAGAAGAAGACAAAGTTGGCATTTTTAGAGGCCCAGTAGCGGTAGGCTAGGTCTAGGCGGGTACCAGTCCATCCAGTCTGGGTCTAGGACCTGTACAGGCAATATCAGAGTCTGCAATGATGTTTCCCTCTGAAAGGGAGGAGGTACCGGTTGCTTGGGAGGCCGAGCGGCCTGGAAGTCACCGCCCAGGAGGCAAGTAGGCCGCTATATCTGGAGGCTGAGCGAAGAGCAGACTCATTCTTCAGTGTGCAAGTTTGGCGACACACTGCTGGAGCACTGGCTACTACAGCGGTGCTGGGAGGAAGAAGGCCGGGAGCTTCCACCTTGGCTATGGTGGAGCTCTACCGGCAGGAGGAGGAGGGAGAAGAGGACCAAGGAGGAGAGTGGCGAGGTACCTACCTGGCTATGGTGACACCATCTTCATCACCTTGTTAGGCGCTGCATCCAGAAGGCCCCAGTTGGGGTAGTGCCGCATCAAGGAAGCTCGGGGCAGAGTCAGGCATGGCGGCTGAATGGGCAGCAGCATAGCTGCTTTGGGTTGTCCTTTGCACAGGCGGGCAGCGACATAGCTGCTTTCGGTTGTCCTTTGCACCGGAGGGTAGAGTCCTCAGTAGTCCGCCATAGCCCCGGCCTACATGAAGAGAGAGAGGAAGGGTGGCCATGGCTATGGTGGACCTCATGTTGTGCCTGCAGTAGAAGAGGGATTCCGACATTGATTCTGGTTCAGCAGACAGCAACAACGAGAGCCACTAAATCAGCCCTACTCCCTGTACCACTCTCCAAATCAACACACTATTACTCACGCCAACCTGCCCCCTCCTTCCACAGACTCATCCACAACAACCCCCAGGCCTCAAAACAACCCGCCCTGCCCCGCTCCTCCGCTTGTCAACGGCCTCGTTCCCCCCAAACTCTGTGACAGCCTCATCGACACGAGAGAGGAGGAGGTGACGAGGAGGAGAGATGGAGAGAGGAGAGAGGAGACTACCAGGAGGAGAGATGTAGAAAGGAGAGACGAGGAGAAGGACATAACGAGGAGGATTGATCGAGAGAGGAGAGAGGAGAATGAGGACAGGACGAGGAGGAGGAGAGATGCACGCCATTGCCTTTCCAAAACCAAAAAAAAAGAAATTGGAAGATTTGGTGCCATTGCTATGTGGCTCTCTTCAATAAGAGGAAGGGGAGAGGAGGGGGAGAGATGGAGGAGAAGAGAGAGGAGGATAGGACAACAAGGAGGAGGAGAGATGGAGCTGACGAGGAGGAGAGAGGAGGAGGAGAGATGGAGAGACAGGAGAGGAGATGACGAGGAGGTGAGATGGAGAGAGGAGAGAGGAGAGAGGAGGAGAAGGACAAGACAAGGAGGAGGAGGAGACATGCACGCAATTGCCTTTCCCCCCAAAAAAAGGACCTTTGCAATTTGCCAACATTGCTATGTCACTGGGTTCAGTAAGAGGGAGAGAGAGGAGGAGGGGGGGAGAGGAGGGGGAAAGAGGNATTTTCGCCTAGAGAAGGATGGGAAGGTGGAGAAAGTTCTCCATTCCCTGACTCTCCTCGTACAAGATGACCTTCCTTTTAATATAGTGTTGGGAATGGATTGGGGAGAGGCAGCAGGGGCCACACTTCATTTGAGAGAGCATGAGTGTAGGCTCCCTAGCCCGGCAGGCGAAGTTAAGACTGCCCGCCTGTTCCATGTGTCTGGTGTAGATAACACCTTGGCACATTGCTGTCTCAGTGCCCCCGCGTTCGCGTGATTGGTGAGAAAGGAGCAGTTAGAGGAACAGGTCTTTGTAGTGTATGTTAGACCTGTCATCGAGGGCCAGGAAAAGGATAGTTCCACAGATCCAACAATTGCCAAGTTGTTGGAAGAGTTCAAGGATTTGACTGAGTCGCCGACAGGAGTAGTGCCGCGACCCATCCAGCACAAGATAGAGATAGAGCCTGGCAGTCGAACTCCTAAGGGTGCAGTCTACAGGATGTCCCCTAGAGAGTTAGAGGAGCTTCGCAAGCAGTTAGACGAGCTCCTTGAGAAGGGTTGGATTAGGCCCAATTCGTCTCCTTTTGGAGCACCAGTTTTGTTTGTCCCCAAGAAGGAAGGAGAACTTCGTATGTGTATAGACTATAGGGGTTTGAATGCGATCACAGTGAAAAATGTTGAGCCGCTGCCCAGGATAGACGATCTTTTAGATCGGGTGCAGGGTTGTAAGTATTTCTCTAAGATAGACTTAAAGTCCGGGTACCATCAGATAAAAGTCCATCCTGACGATCAATACAAGACTGCGTTCCGGACTAGATACGGGCACTATGAGTTCATAGTGATGCCCTTTGGACTAACCAACGCGCCAGCTACTTTTCACCGTTGTATGAATGACCTGTTTAGACCGAGGTTAGATAAATTTGTAATAGTCTATTTAGATGATATCCTAGTCTTTAGTAAGATCCTCCAAGAGCACCAGGGTCATCTGAGGCAGGTCTTGGAGAAGCTTAGAGAGGCTAACTTCAAGATCAACGCGAAGAAATGCGAGTGGGCCAAGACGCAAGTCTTGTACTTGGGCCACATGTTGGACGGAGATGGCATTAAGCCAGAGGACAGTAAGATCGCGGCGATTAGAGACTGGCCGAAGCCCCGCACATTAACAGAGTTGCGATCGTTCCTAGGCTTAGCTAACTACTATAGGAAGTTCGTGAGGAACTTCTCCACTATCGCCGCCCCCTTGCGCAGACTGCTAAAGAAAGAGGCATTCTGGCAATGGGACAAAGACTGTACGTCTGCGCTCAAGAAGTTAAAGCGCGCGTTAATAGAATATCCCGTCCTCAAAGTAGCAGATCCGTCCTTGCCATTTGTCGTTACCACGGACGCAAGTCAGTATGGGATAGGCGCCGTGTTGCAGCAAGACGACGGGAATGGCTATAGACCCGTAGAGTTCATGTCAGCGAGGATGCCCTGTGAGAAGGTCGCTACCTCCACGTACGAGAGAGAACTCNGGAGTTGAGGTAGGAGGAGGGGGGGAGGGGAGGAGGGGGAATGGAGGAGAGGAGAGGAAGAGGAAGACAGGACATCCAGGAGGAGAAGATGGAGGAGAGGAGGAGAGGAGGAGAGGAGGAGAGATGGAGAAGAGGAGAGAGGAGGAGGAGAGATGGACAGAGGAGAGAGCAAGAGAGAAGGACAGACAAGAGAGGAGGAGGAGAGTATGGAGAGACAAGAGAGGAGACGAGGGGGATGGACAGAGGAGAGAGGAGAGAGGCAGCGGAGGAGGAGGAGGAGAGATGCACGCCATTCCCTTCCCGAGAAAAACAAAAACAAACACACATGCACAGACACCCCTTTCTGCCACCATTGCTATGGCACTGTGTTCAATAAGCGGAAGAAAGAGGAGGGGGAGAGAGGAAGAGGACAGGATGAGGAGGAGGAGGAAGGGGAGAGATGGAGGAAAGGAGAGGAGAAGGACAGGACAAGAGGAGTAGGAGAGGGGAGAGGAGGAATAGGACAGGTGGGACAGATGGACCCCATCACCTTTCTGAAAGAAAAAATCAAACTTCGCTATTTGCCACCATTGCTATGTCACTATGTTCAATAAGAGGAGGAGAGGGAGGAGGGGGAGAGTGGAGGAGGAGGAGAAGACAAGGAGGACAACTACAGATGGATGAGAAGGGGGATGACGAGAGGAGGACAAGATGACAGATATGTGAGATGGACAAGAGAGGTGGAAACAAGGAGGAGTAGGTGACACTGATGAGGATGTGACGAGGAGTAGGAGGTGACGAGCAGCGGGAAGTGACGAGGAGGTGCAGTCAACATGGAGGGAGGAGGATATGCTCCATTTCCCCCCCAAAAAAAAGAATCCTTCACGATTGCCACCATTGGAGAGAGGAGGAGGGAAGGAGGAAGAAGAGGATGACGAGAGGGGGGATGGCGAGAGGAAAACATGAGGAGGAGGAAGACGAGAGATAGATGAGATGGAAGAGAGGTGGAGACGAGGAGGTGAAGATGAGGAGAGAGAGGAGGTAACAAGGAGGAGGCGACAAGAAGGCGGCGATGAGGAGTAGGAGAGGGGGACGAGGAGATGGAGACAACGAGGACGAAGTGATGACAAGGAGATGACTACAAGCAGGAGGAGGTGACAAGGAGGTGGAAAAAGGAGGAGGAGGAGGAGGAGAAGGAGGAGGAGGAGAAGGTGAGTTGGAGAGAGGTTGGGAGATCGTAAGGGCTGGTGAAGACCCACCTGGTGACGGTCTGTTCCTGTGGAGGTTGGTGATGGTTGGCTCTACAGGTGGTTGCTCCGCGGCAGCTCTGGAAGCTCCAGCAGTGGCGACGAAGAGGACCAGCACGAAGGAGGATGTCGACAGTGAAGCGCAAGGGCAGGGGCAGCAGCAAGATGGCAGGACACATACAAACCAACCCAACCCCACCCTTCTTGTTTTCAAGTGTGGCCCGCTACAATTTTTTTTGGTTGTAAAAAAAAGAAAAAAGAAAAAAAAAAGAAAAAACTTCAAAAAAGAAAAAAAAAAAGAAGGCCTTTACCGATTTTACGCAGGGGATGCAGGTTATGTCAAATAAAGACCTGCAACCCCTTTTTTGTTTTTTTGAGGGGGCCTGCTCTCCCGTTCACCGTGCAGGTCCTATTCAGTCGATGTACTGACTGTGCACAAACGTGCGCTTGCAAGTATGGTTATGAATCAGCTGCTCAACCTACCACACTGCATTCATTGGTGTGCAGCTAAAGATCCTATCAAAAGAATGGCAGCAAAGTCGAGCAGACTATGCAAAATAGGATGATGTGAGTATCTTTCGAGTGGAAAGCAAAGATGACAGCGGTATGCCGATAGGTAACTGAGACTGACCCACTCATTCCAGGGAGGACAAAAACACGTACCATGGACAATATTGATGTTGACAAGTGGTGGCCCAGTTGCAATCTCTTCCTCCCTTTCCTGAGCTGGAACCTGTGACAGCATAGTTATTTCACTGCCTGCAACCAAATCCATCATCGTCAAACCAATCAATAACCACCACTCCTGGTTCTTCCAAACCTTCCCCTTCTTTCGCCCCATCTTGTTGCCCGTTGCAAGGAACCTGCAGGTCACCACCGTAGTACCAAAAGGTCTAGCAAGGGGTCCAAAAGGGAGTTTTGGAAGTTAAGGGTCCAATAAGACAAGAAAAATAGGTCAAAGAGAGTTCCGAAAAATGGAGAATCTAGCTCAGTTGGTAAGGCACGCAAGTGGCATTCAGGAGGTCTTGGGTTCAATCCATACTTGCGCACCTGCGCCGCATAGCGCAGCGCTTGCACGATGTGCGCCGCATGGCCTAAATCAAGGGTTGACGAAAAAAAAATAAAAAATTGGGGGGCGGGGTGCAAGTGAGAGGGGGGGTTGTCGTAAAAATGAAACCGGGCCTGTGAAAATTGTTTTTGCGCTGAGCCAACGCCCGGAATTTTTTTTAGCAGTAGCGGATGCAATACCCAGGGTTCGATCCCTAGACCTCACCCTACCCATGTACAGTATCTGTGTAGACTCCGAGAATCGAACCTGTGACCTGTGTATTCGTAGGCAGTTGGTAGGCCTGTCGTAGGTCCATAGGCAGCAGGGGTTCGATCTGTAGGTCTATAGCGTAGGAGTCTTAGTGAGTTCCGGAAGCTTAGCTGTAGACCTTCTAGAAGGTAGGCAAGTGGGCAAGTGGTCAAGTGGTGAGGCAAGTGGTGGACTAAACCGCAGTGCAACAGCAGTACAACGTCGGTAGGATAGCGGTGAGTCCACAGTCAGTCAGCGGAAGGTCCAGTCAGTCCCAGTCCGGTCCAGCAAGTACCACAGGGGGACTGTGAGCACCAAGGGCCGAGGGCAAAGGGCAGACCAACGAGTTTCTGAAGTATAAATCAAGAGGCAGTGCCCAGCCATTGATTCATTCCTGAGTGAGCCATGCGGAAGCGCTGCCACARCGACTTGTGCAAGGAGGTCTGCAGATGAGCCYGGAGGACGCAGTGGGCGAGAGAGGAGGAGTTAGCATAGCGATAGGTTAGAGGCAGCCATAGCTGCCATAGCTGTAGTTAGTGGAAGAGTGTGTGTGC